CACACACACACACACACACACACACACACACACACACACACACACATATATATATATAGCAGATATGTAGATCTACTGTGCCATTTTCGATTGTTATCAGTATGATATAGTCCTCAGTATAACACCACATTCGCCCAACTACGTACTGATGTTAATACTTGGTTTCGAAATAGATACCAAATCTGAATATTTAGACGTGACGTCTCTCTCACGTCGGTTGTGCGCAAGTCCAAAAGAACACCCTGCACTATCATGCAACGTATTAATTGGCCATGAAAGAAATTTATCGACGTGTTCATCTCTATTAGGACAAAACTATCTGCATTTCTCCACACGACGGTCCGATAGTACACTCAGCATTCTTACCTCTTTCACAATCGGACTCGCAAACATCGCAAAGAAGGCCATGTTCATGGCCCAGTAGTCCCAAAGGCCGAGTGGTCTGCCCACAAGCATATGCGGATTTATCATAACGTATATCACGAATATTGGTATGTACGCTAGAGTCTGTACACTAGAAAGATCGAAAGTGTGAGCTTTTTAAGTGCGTACAAAGCTAATCTTTGCCATCAGTGATATTTATTTTTGTTAATCTCGTACAATCACCGGCTTAATATCCCACGTGATTTATTAGAGAATTTATAAATATGTATGTATATGAATAATGCATCTTTCCCAAGCCACTACCATTATTTGAGGATGGGGTCTGTAGCGCACAGGAACAATGCGATGAGTGGCGATAGGGAACGTGAACCTCTGATGGCTTCAGTGCCACTTAACATTTTAGACTCCGAAGCTAATCGAGATGAACAGCGACCGAAGTCGATAGTTGTGATTGTCAAAATACTTTACTTTCTATCAGGTCTCTCGGGATCGACTTGGGGACGTTATGCGACTATATTCTACGTGACAAAGGGACTGAGTCCATTTGAAATTGGGTTCATTGGATGCATATGTCCTTTCATACAAACCATCGGTCAGCCGTTATGGGGAATTCTCAGCGATAGATGTCGGGTATGTATCAATGGGCAGTGATGCGAACGATATCATTTTTTTGGGTGCACCAAGCAGTGCTGTTCAGACCAGATGAATGTACTTACTGATGAAGCCATAGTGGCATAGCAGCTCTGATATATATGCGTTGTGATATCTGCTTCTCGCGAATGTATTCAATTTAATTTATATGCGTAGCTGTAATTGGGGCGACAAGCTTACACATACACACAGATATATAGGCGAGTATAGAAATAGCAGGGATTTTTCATATATAAACCTACTATGTCGGTCAAATCATGGTCTGAATAATAATGGCCCGAGATTGTATTGTATATTATAGTAAGTTCCCACGTCCAAATCATTTAACTGTGCTAGTAGGTGTCATTAGCATGCCGCTTTCAAACACCGAACAGATATATGATCATTCTTTTATTAACGCTAAAATATTATTCGATTTTGTGTGTGCATGTCTGCTGATCTGCAGAATCGAAAGGGAATCTACATGGCTACGAGCACGTTAGCAACCTTATGCATTCTCAGTCTCTCAAATGATTGGATAAGTGATTCGTATGTGAAGATCACACTGGTGGCGTGCATGGAGGCCGCCTTTGTAAGTGGGGGTATACTGGATGCATATGCGATCGATGAACTGAAAAAAAGGGGAAAACTGGATGACTACGGAAAGCTGCGAGTGTATTTAGCTATCTCATGGGGATTAGGAACCTGTTTCATGGGCTATATTTCCGGTAAGTGCATGGTTCTATGAGCCATATGAGATTTCAGTTCGTTGAGTTTTCTAGTTTTTAGTATATGGGGCGCACATCACCGAAGCGTACATACACGACAACCAATATCATATAGGGAAGAATTTTTAACACACATACATATGCTAACACGGTCCTAGTTCAAAGTAATACTCATGGGGGTGGCGTATTTTGGAGCACAGAAAAGCTGAGTTAGACAGATATTTGTCCAGCTACCACAGAATATCTCTACTTTTTGCCAAACAAATTTACACCTCATTTTTACATACTCAGATGACTACGGGTTCGGTGTGGTCTTTTGGGTGTTCGGGATATTTCAATTCATCAACCTGTGCGTGCTAGCGGTCTTTGTACCTAGTCATACTGACGAAGAAAAGAGAGTTGGTCGCACCGCTGAAGGGAAACCTCGGGTATGTTCAAGAATCACGCATGATTTTTTAACCTTTCAATTGTCAACAGTTGTCTCGCATACGACCACACATGGTCTCGTGCATATCGAGGGTGGTTGAAAGTGAAAAGCTTGGGAGCGGATTCAGCCAGCGCTCTGGTATAAACTACTCTCCCGGATAGCCATAATACTCTGTCGGATCTGTATAATTTAGTGAGCTCCTAAACAATCATTTCACCCAATTTGATATACAGATGTCTGTCCTTATCAAAGCAATGACACGGCCGAGGGTCCTATGCTTACTCCTTCTGCTGACTGTGTTTGGGTGTGGCTTTGGGATTGTGGACAGATTGCTGTTCGTGTATCTCATGCAATCCTTTAATGCTTCTAAATTTCTGTGTGGATTGACTGTGGGCTGCACTGTCCTCATGGAGCTGCCTATTTTCTACTATGGCAAATATGTACTGCAACGGATTGGTCCTCAGGTATGTTTTTTGGTCTGTCACGGTGAAAGAAGCATTGACAAGCCGACAAGGTATTAGGCATGATCCCAATCAACAGTTGAACATAACGGGTAGTTCTCATTTTCAGTATAGTGGAGTAGTTTTTATCGACGATTGTAACTTGCTAGCATGTGTAGAGCCTCCACACAAAGTATTTGAACAATCAAAGCGCGAGTATATTGTATTTGCATAGGTTTCAAGTCTGAAATCGATCCACATTATCCACCACAGACCATGATGACGATATCAATGTGCGCATTTATTGTGCGCATGTTTGGGTACACATATCTGACCACGGAGACAGTCCACTACGTGCTGTTGTTGGAGCTCATGCACGGGATAACCTTTGGATTGATGTGGACAGCTACAATCAGCATAGTATCTCAGGTATGTATGAAGTGCCTCTTTTTGTAGCTATAATTCCTTAAATGTCAGCATCCAGCGAATCTAATTATGCTCCTACCGGTGTCATAGTCCAAAAACGATGCAGAACGCTTCACTGTACACTGCCGTATAAATCGCTACCATATTAATTTGGAGCTCAAATCGCTAGTTGTCGTTACTGTATACTTCTGTATCAATCCCTACCATATTGATCTGTATTTCAAATACATGGCAGTTTTCGTCAATACTTCGCTCGATTCACTTGCAATAATAGTTACGACACGCAATGAGTATCAACGCAGACGATAAACGCAAATTATGCTCTATCCTTTTGCAGATATCTCCTCCAGGGTGGGGAACGGCGACCATGACAATTGTGCAAACCACTCTGAGGTGTTTGGGTGCGGGGACTGGTGCGCTTGTGGGAGGCTGGGCAGCGGAAAAGTACGGTTTCAAACCTATGTTCTGGATGGCGGGTTACTTATTCTGCGGTGTATTAGCTATACACCTGCTGTTTGGGTATATGAGCGGTTTCGAACTCGGCGAGGAACTGCATGTGAGGGAGGTGAAAGAAACCATCAGTACCACGGTGGACGAAGAAAAAGAAAGGAGTTAATTAGTGCAGTGGACGATGAGATAGATATAGCGAGTGACCCTCGGCACTTCATGTTGCTCACAACCTCTGACTGGAACAGGGAAAGTGTGCAGCTAGCTCAAGTAATAGACGCAGTATAATAACTATATTGTTTAGCATAGAGGGTTTGACTGCGGAAGGTGCTAAAAAAAGCACTTGTGCAAGTAGAATTAATAGCAGTCGTGAGGACTGTGCCTCATAACCTGTGATTGTATGTGACGATCATGTAGTAGTTATGATAAAGCTGGTAAATAGTAATCACTGTAATATGTGTTCAATTTAGAACGCTATGTAATAAATCTGTATATATTTAGTTTATTTTACACTCCTAAAATAATTTTAAACCCCCTACTAAAATCCTACTGTGTACACAGGAAAATATGAATAAAATTATCACTGGAAAAATTCACATGTACGTAATATATGCTCGAATAACAATGCAAGATGTGAAACTTTCACAATGATAAGAGGAGTTTGGTGAGCTTCATCGCATCACAAACTATACATCAACCATGAGGTTTCAAGGGATAGTTCGATGTGCCTTAATAGGACTTGCATGCCACACTCCTGTATCAGCTACAGTCGAAACGTTAGCAGATAATAATCTGGCACAAGATCTCGGTGCCGACGAGGGTCTTTTGCGCACACAGCTCAGTGGCTCAAGCGTTCAGAACTTGACAGAACATTCTAATGGCATAAGTGGAGAATTATGGGAGCCTATATTGCGCCACCCAGCCAAAGCTAATCTAACACTTCCCAAAGTTTTCCTCGCGGGTGTGAGCACAGCAATCAGCATAGACTTACCAGCTCAAGATGAACGAATGCAGGTGTGGGATGCGCATGTGCCCGTCATGCTTGATGTTATCAGCAAAGGGGTGGTCACGCACTCTATGCGTTTTACACTGAATACTTCCAATTTAGATAAACATTATAACTTACCTATTCTTACACATAGTTTGGAAGGCATCGTGTTCGATGACTTCGGTGTCGGCTTTATTAAGGTGAAAGTTGAGGGTTTGCCCGAGGTCTCTCAGCGTACATACTCGATTCCTGCTTGGTTATCAATGTTGCCACCACTGGTCACCTTGGTAATTTCGGTTGCCCTGAGACAAGTGATGATTGCACTAACTATAGGTGTCTGGGTGGGCTGCATCTGGTTGTACGAGTACAACGTGGTCATCGCCTTTATGCGTACCTTTGACGAATACGTCTCGAATGCGTTTATGTCGGACGGCCATGCGAACGTAATCCTTTTCACCTTCTTCCTGGGGGGTTTGATAGGTCTTGTGCAGAAAAGTGGCGGTGCTCTGGGGTTAGCGAGACAATGTGTGAAGGTAGCATCTACACCTAAGCGAGGGCAGTTGATGTGCTGGTTCTTGGGCGTAGGTATCTTTTACGACGACTATAGCTGTGTGTTGATCACCGGTAATTCTCTCAGGCCTATCACACGGTCCATACGCATGTCTCCAGAAAAGTTTGCATATATAATCCACACTTGTGCTCAGATGGCTTCTATGACGCCCGTATCGTCTTGGATAGGTGTGGAGTTAGGTTACCTCCAACAACAGTACAAGCTACTAGGTGTCGACCAGAACGCATTTCTGGTGCTCATGAAAACTATTCCTTACAGAATCTATCCGATTATTAGCATTTTCTTTGCGCTAGCCGTGATCGCCCTGGGAAAAGACTTCGGGCCTATGGCGACAGCCGAGAAAAATTTCCACAAGCTTATTAGAAGAGATAGTATCAATGGGGGAAGCGACCCAAATAGATTACTTACATCAGTTCCGTCTGGTAGTTTTAGCACAGACGATGGGGAGAGCGGTGGTAACAGCCCAATCGTTAGTGATGACAATTCAGATGAGGACATTCCTGCATTGGCTAAGCGCAAGCCTGAGCGTGTTATAAACGCTGTCTTACCGTTTGGAACGGTGATTGTGGCCACTATGGTAGGTATTGTGTACGATGGGTATATCAAGATTCCCGCGGGCGGTTCGCACGACATCATCGCAATTGTGTCGAGTGCCAACTCAGTGTCCGCCTTATACTGGGCCTCAGTGCTGGGTTGCGTAGTGGCAGCCATAATGTACACAGCACAGAAGCTGCTGAGCCTTAGTGCCATCATAGACTCTTGGGTAGAGGGTGTGAAGGATGTGTTGGAGCCAACCCTGGTACTACTTCTCGCATGGGCGCTGGGATCTGTGATTCAGGATCTCAACACAGCCAACTACTTGGTAAGCGCGCTGGGTTCCTCTATCTCTGTGCAATGGCTGCCAGCCATAGTGGCGGTGTTCGCCTATGTGATCTCATTTGCCACAGGTACATCGTTTGGCACCATGGGTGTACTGTTCCCTCTTGCAGTCCCACTGGCATATCAGGTGAGTGGCAATGACGAACATGTCATGCTACTCGCGACCAGTGCCATCTTGGGAGGGTCTCTGTTCGGCAACCATTGTAGTCCCATCGCTGATCTTACTATACTTTCGTCCATGTCTGCGGGTTGCGAAGTGGGGTCACATTTTGAGACAACCTTCCCATACGCTGCATTGGTTGGTCTTGTGTCCTTAGTCTTCGGCTTCATGCCATTAGGGTTCTTCCCTAGTTGGTACAGCCCGTGGTTGGCGCTGCTAGTATGTTTGCTCGTGTGCGTGGGCGTTCTTATGTTGTTGGGTGGGGATACTGAAGAGAGAAGAATCAACGCTCTTGAAGAAGAGGACATCGCCGATGAGGAATAGGCTACAAAATCCAGGAGATATTGATTCTGAGTAGCTGTATCACAAGAGAACACGATGATTAGAGAGGATACGTTTGCTAGTTTCTGCGTATTATATATTACTAGTTTGTGCAGCTCTCGGGAATAAAATTTAGGGACATCAAAGGAAGCTGCGATGACAATAGCACAGTTTGAGTTTGTGTTGGATGTATCGTGCTACGTTACTTCCTCTACAAGTGCGCCTGGTTGATATGCTAACTACAGAAGTTTGTGTTGAAGTTAAGCCACACATTCTCCATGATGATGAGTTCGTACACCTGTTTTCGGCCCTGTAAATAGTTGCCGAGCCACTTTTAAATACTAGTGCTGGCTGATCAAATTCGAGATGTTTTATTTCCCATCCTTCATATAGTTCTACTTCCGGAGAGGGAGGCTGTATGTGTCGTACAGGTTCGTCAAGCACTACTCTGTTTTGCATTTGTCTCCCATATAATCCATCTTCGAAGATTTGCATATTGTACAAAGCAGGACATCTAGCTTTGCCTAAGCTCAACATCCTCATGGCGGGCCGGAAGTCTCGCACATGTCAGGGTTTCCGACCGTCGCTTCGGTTGTATTCCAACGCTTGATGATCGATGCTATATAAATCCGACGACATTCACCTCATGGCAGGTAATTCGCTGATTATGGTCGAGATCGTATGACTATAATAATGTTGACTTCAAGTTTCATCGGGAAAATCTCATATTTTATTATTTGACCGGACTTCCGACATGGTATTTTGATCCACAGTATACTACACAGGCTTGCACATCGAAAACAATGATTGTCTCCAAAGATACAGTGGAATTTACGAAGGCAAAAAAAAACACAAAAAAAACGCAGGTTCGCGTACAAATGTTTATTGTTGATGAACTTGTCAGGCTTTATCTCGCCTGAATCACTGGCAGAGTTGATAGCCAGCTACGTGTTGGCAGATGTTACAATCTGATCTCTACACGTCAATCTTCAGTTTTCGGCTAGCAGATCGCGACCGTTCGTACGAATACGCGATAAACAACATGCTGCGAAGCTCAATTAATGAGCAAAAAAAGCACGGATACGGCTATGGAACCCTCAGACTCGCAAATAGCTTGGCACTGTCCAGTTTGCACATATACAGTCAAAATCTTAAATTATAAAGAAAGATACTACAGCTACTACTGCCGTCTTGCTTATCAATCAGCCCGAAACCGGACTTGTTGAAACTGGCCACACAGCGCGCCTATTGGCTTAACTATACACTCCTTTGCCAAATTAAGCAGAAGCGGCCTCACGTTCTTGTTTTTTTGCCAGCTTCTGCTTGTAATCCTTGATGGCCGCCTTCACAGCGTCTTCAGCCAGAACTGAAGGCATATAATAACAATAGAAAGGCTAAATGAGTACATCACTATAGTGAATGAACGGACTAAATCGAATATGCTAGCACAAGGGGAGTCAGATAAAAAGGGTAGAAGTAAAAGTGTGAGACCAAACACGATTGCAACGCAGATAGCATAAATGCGCAACGCAGATGGGATAAATTCAAAAAAAAATGTCGGGATTGAGGAAGTCAAGAATGCAGACATTGGCTGGGTGAAAACAACTCCGATACACACGTCGGGCCCCAATGATTAATTGGCCAACAATATGCAATTTATACTACAAAATATGCAAACACAAATCGTTCACCTAGGGTATCAAGCATTGACATAGAGCTTAACACATGACACATAGCACATACGTGAACAGTGAATCTTGACAGGGGGCAGACGCAGCTCTTTCGCAATGTCGGCGTTCTTGACTGCACCAGCAGTTTCTAGACTCATGCCCTTGATCATCTCGGTGGCGAGAGAACTAGACGCGATGGCCGAACCACATCCGAATGTCTTGAACTTAGCGTCCTTAATGTTACCATCGTCGTCTACCAAAATTTGTAGTTTCATGACATCTCCACAGGCAGGGGCACCAACAAGACCCGTGCCAACGTTCAAGGCCTTCTTGTCCATCGAGCCAACATTGCGGGGCTTCTCGTAATGATCAATTACCTTTATCAAAGAAAGTATGCCAGTGCCAGCTCATAAGTATAACAACAGCTAAATACGGGTGCACACGGCATATATCGCAGAAAAGCACCTAAAAGCACATACGAATGTACGCCTGGGTGCCGCTACACTATTCAAGGAAAGCAAGCACATACATAGTCACAATATAAAATGTTATGACCAACACAAACTCTGCATGGCCCTTCGCACTTACACTGTAAAAGCAATTAGCTCAACATCAGAAAACGCGAGATAAACACAGGAGATACTAAATCAATCATAACGCTAAGCTTTGCGTATGTTAATCACCTACAGTCAATGACTCGTATATTCGACCGAATAGTCATGACCCCAGAGTCCGTACACCAATGTGTTAAAAGTTAATAACAAAAAGTAAGCCGACGAACAACAGTGATGGTGATGAAAGTACCAAAATCTAAAGCAGTGTGACATAATCTACAGCTACACAGTGTGTACAGTGCGAGAAAATTGGGAAATTTAAGTACAAAACCACCATTGAGTGAACAAGTGCTACTCTGATATACACATGGACCACATATTAAGGAGGTCTTGAAAAATGTTGAGGGGTTAGAGGACATTCCAGATGGTAAGATCTAACCAATGTTGATCGTTCAGCCTAACGAGAGTACAATATTCATGCACACTCCACAGTTACAGACATCAAACCTACAATCATATGGCAAAACGGTGGAGAATATGCGCTGGTTCGTCTTAATTCATAAAGAATAGATGGAAACACACACTCTCCAGAACAAGGATACCACTAAGAGTTCATGTCAACGCTTATGTACAGGAACAAGATTATTACAACTTGGCCAGGCATCAACAAAACGCATAAGCACGAGTTTCAACGTTATTCACAGGCGAGCAAGTGACCACTCTCGCCAAAGGCGTCTATCAGTCGCGGGTTTTAACGACTTATTTTATACTTTGTAATTTAGTGGCCGACAAGAATAAAAATCGGTTCTGAAACCTGATATAAAAACTGAGGCAACCGAAAGAATCTTATAACATGACCACATGCAACATATATGTTCAAGACATACCGAGTCGTGGTAGCGTGCGGTAGCTAGTCGATTGATAGCTGAACCAACAGCCGAGACATTAGTAGCACGAATCATAGACACTGCTCTCAACATGATGAATATTATGGTATGGTATTTGATGCAATTGACGCTATTTAAAAAGATATTTAGATATTTTTATGTGTATGGATGAATGGGTGCGTGTAAATGTGTGATTTCCGGTATGCGCGACTAGCTGTTCATATATGTATACGCTCCTGAACTAAATTTACTCCGAATGACTCTTGCGTTGAAATGTGGAATAATATCGAATTGTGTTTTTAATATGGTATTATTTCGACAGTACATAAATAATGTACGACCGAACCACGAAATAACATAAAATAAAATAGGTGACTAGTTCCTCTTTCGCAATGAGCAGAAGGCCAACTCACAGCAAGTAAAAAGTGAATCTATAAATAGAACATCTTTTATTATTATTTCCTAAAATGCTCGGTTTTGGCGGGGGTTTGCCACTTTGAGATGAGAACTGAGCTACTATTTATTTTTAAAAGTACCATTGTACTAGCCTACAGTCTACTACAGTCTACACTGTATACAGTCTACACCCTTACACTACTAGATAGTCACGATAGCTATGCATTTATATCTCACACGATAGCTATTTTGAGCTATATAGAAATGTAAATAGTAAGACTAGTGTATCTCAGGTGCCATGTTATCGGTATTCGCTACTTAATGGTCACGTCTATGCTACCGTTGGGTCATAACCTCTCTTTGCGCTCACATCGTTGGTGTGCTACAGAAAGTTGCAGACAGGAAAGCCAGTCAAACGCCAAGAATGAGACGCAACTGGTTCACTCCGATTAGGCGATGTAAACTGCTTGTAGTTACCGGTTTGCATTTGATTCTTGTTGCATGCTCAGCAGCAATTTTGGATAGCGTGGGCAAATATTGAAGTGCATGGGTTTTGCACTTACAAATGATATACTTTCATCTCGAACGCGCGTATGTAACAAAATGAAGTGCCTCAATACCCTCACGAAGCATCTCATATCCGTGTAAAAATTTCTGGTAAATGCGATCAAGGCTCGTTCGCGATGACGATTAAATAGAAACTAGTACTAACCGTCACACTGCTGCTTATAATTTTGAAATCCTGAGTTTTCTGGAGGCGGGTTGCAGAGTAGCACAGACAGCGAACAGACTTGCCAATTCACAATTCTGAAACTTGCAAACACTAGAAAGTCGGTGATTTTTTTTAACGTAAAAAGGGTTTCTAATTTGGTGTTATGCTACTAGCGATGTCAGATATGCCTAATCAATAGACAATATGAGCGTCGGAAGGTTCAAACGAAGCTTTCAATTGGTGTACATCCCCACAGGGTAAAGAAACGACGAACAAACCAAACTCTCCTGTAAAAGTTGCAAAATAGCGAGAGACGCATCTGTTACCCTGTAAAGTTAGTAATAGATTGCCACATTTGTGCTAAATATAAGCCAAGAAATGCACAAGAATAGGACTATTCAATTACTACTATAGGAAAAATGGGTAACCAAGACATGCCCTCGACCCTACTTTACATACTTAATTAGACTGTTGTTTCGTGATTTAATATTTTTTTGATGATTCGTATAGCCTTTTTCAAGAACACTTTAGAAGAGTATATCAGCATCGTCCTCCGTTGTCAGCATACTCGATGCTTGTCCCGTTACCCCATCTGCATGAAAAAGAAGGTTCCTTTTGTTAGTGTATTGAATGTCTACATGGATGCATGTCTATCAATTTATATAGTAAACAGAATTTTTTCCACATGCATACGTGTTTATCAACATGAATATATATATATATACATACATAAGCAAAGCATAAGCATGGCCTTATGCAGAACACATACACTAACAACATATGTTATATATATATATATATACGTGGTATATGTAAGTGTAAGTGTATGTGTGATCTGTATATACAAGTATATGTATGTATATATATATAGATATATATACGTACATGTCTATATTAGATATTCTACGCGTGTACCCATGTATGTATGTATACGTATTGACAGTAACACACATGTACATGGATATGGATATAAGCAGGCATAAATGCAAAGTCTTGCCTTTTAATTATATGCAACAAATATCTTTAAATTTCTTGATCACTCAAAGAATCAAATTTAGATACGTTTTTACAGACACTAATGGGCAATAGTGCAAAACGGAGCATTTGAGACCCTAGAATTCTACGCGGCTTGGATATCAAAAATAAGTGGTAAACGCCAGTGGCAACCCCCAAGTTTGTCGATGTCGTATTTTAAAAGAATAACCTACATTAAAAGACAATACACTATTTGACTCGCGAGACGCTTCCAGCGATCTGATTTGACATGTGTGTGTGTCACAAATGCACTCGTACGAGGCAGCCGACCAAAAGAGGAACACTCAGCATTTAAATACCGATGAAAAAAACACATAGACGATACCGCCGCACAAAGAAGCTCTCGCCTCGATGCTTGGGAACGGGACTCGATAAAAACATCAATGCCGTGTTCCACCTACCAGCCGCCTCCGCAGCCTCAGCCTCTTTAAGAGCCTGAGCTTTCTTCACCTCCTTCTTTTTATTTTGGACCTTCTTCAGACGGAAAAACTCTTCCCTCTCCAACTCATCCAGCTCAGACACAATAAAATCCACAGTGTTTTGGAGACGTGGGATAATCACGTACTCGATAGCGTTTACACGTCGATTCGTGGCCTGTTAGGATTGAGTAGTGAAGGAAAACAAGTAAATTTATCAAAGAAGGAAGGGATGCTTATTAATTTATGTGTTGCGCGCGACCCTGGAAAAATTCAGACTAGTGTCACCGCAATCGGGAAGACGAATACTACACTTATGCGATATCAATATTCGTGGCGACATGGGTATATACGAACACGGCCTAACTAACACATTCAAGCTTAGTGGGCAGCTAACATCCATAGATGAGTAACTTGTAGGGTAACACACAGATAGGGTACACGAACATCGAGCGCGTCAACAGTTCAACAAAATATGCCAATCCTGAAACAAACCTTGATCACTTCGTCGAGAGTGACAAATGAAGTCTGCAATGACGCGAGATTCACCAGCAATTCACACGCCTTCTTGAAAGCCTCTTTGCAGTCAGAAATATTCTTTCCTCCACGTCCGAGACCCGTGAGACTGAAAACTACAGAAAAGGGCGACATGTTATGGCAGTGTTATAGAAGAACATCGATAGAAACAGGATGATGCTCCAATGAAATATATAGTGCCATTTGGATAGATAATTTTCACATGAACTCAAACAGATTTGATGCCTTAAAATTGGACGCAGCTTTCGCCATCAGCATCACTACATCGCTGATTTCATGCCTTGTCCACATACCATCATCTCCAGCATGGGTGTATTCGAAAACCGGTAGTTTGACACCGGCAACGTTATCTGTCTTCGCCTTTACTTTGATAGCAGCTACTTTGGCGTTCTCATAGACACCTCGGCTGTGTAGATCGAGCCGATAATATAAATTGATAGATTAGAAATTGTCAGCAAGCCGTTGCAGATGTAACACGCGTGTCAGTATGATCATGCGCATACCATGTACAATATACTGATGAAAAGTTCCGTACACCATCCAGGAATCTCCCATCGAAAAATAATACGCGCGTTCATATTGTATATAGTGTGATGAACGTTTTACACTACATACTTAGGATTTTTTTCACGCATGGACCTTGTGAGCATCGCTGATATATTGTATATTAATTTCGAGCTTCTGAGTAATGGTATTATAAAGCTCTTTCCAGCAATAATCCAGTGAAGCACCGATGACCAGACCATGATTTAACACATTATCGGCTCGTACATTATAGTAGCACCTACCAAGTCGCCCTTAATGAGCAATTTGAGCAACCCAATACAAGACAATTTGAACACAACGTACCTGAAATCACCAGCCGTGAAGTTTGCTTGAGCGAGTGAAAAGAAGGCCTCTTTCATAACATCACCCATGAGCTCTTTGTTTTCAATAATCTTCTTCAGTAGAGCACTATTAAACAATGGCAATGGACAGACAGTTATAAGTTGTATGCATGCACCATATACTCTCTCCTGTTTTTGAGTATGTCGTCAGTGATTCACATATACAATCCAGTACGCAATTAAATTCAAAAGCGAATTTATTAAATTCAAAAGCTAATTTTACTCTGATATCGACTGCTTGGACAATCGCGCAATACAACGGGACAGTGCGCATGCTCACAAAGCAAACGACGTAGATCATATCCTCTCACAACCACAGGGCCATGCACCCATATTCCCCAAATTAATCTGCCATAATCAGAGATCAGCCCAGAAGCAACAATGCTATCAGAAATTTAAGGGAAAAAACACGTACCGAAAGCGCAAACTGAGGGCGTCGGCTTTTTTCTTCAATAAACTGTGACCTTTCTCCGCACCTTTCAAACGCAGTTTGATGGTGGTCAGCGCCATGCGCGTGGGAAAGATGGCTAGACGATCCTGTCCCATGTTGGCGGTCTACTATACAACTCTACCAATCATCAAGCGCCATATAACAGGGAAAAAGAAAGCAGGAGTATTAGATTCTCAAATGTTGTGAGGCTCACTTGTTTAAGGGCCTAACGGCCATATGTTGTTATGTGTGTACACCTGATATAGTGTTGAGAGATCAGTCAATCATGTCAATTTGTATGGTGTATATACGTAGCTTCGGGGGGTTTCACAATCAGCAGTGTAGATTTGAAGATTTTTTTAATAGTCAAAATCCAAAATCCAAAAGTTTAGAAGCGTGTAGATGCGTGCCCAAATGCGGTGCACGATCACTTTATCTTTTACGAAAACCCGCCAAACAATACATCTACTAAGGTGTAGGGACTTACAAGGGCCGTGATGGCGACGCATATGTTTCCGTTGAAATCGAAACAACGAGAGGTACAGATCAACAGCTCCTTGCACACGCTTATACGATAATTCTACCAAGTGCAACCATGGCTGGAAAAACGTATCCAATGTATTTTACTTGCGCAAGCGTATATATAACTGAGGGAGCCATACCAGTAGCAACTATAATATATATATATATATATGCGCTAATATATATTTACGATAATATATATACATACAAGTATATTTATATTCACAACACACACATACACATGCATATATATATATATATATATATATACATATATGTACATGTGTATGTAAATGTGTTACGTATATTCCTAAACCTAACTATATATATATATATATATTTATACATATATGTATATATCGAACAAAAAAACACACACATACACCATATACATATATATGTATATATATATCGAACAAAAAAACACCGACATACACCATATACATATATAATATATAGATATATTTATATATATAATTACACATATGTATAAACATATATATATAGATATGCACATATATATAGATATATTTATATATATATATAATTATACATATATATATATATAAATATATAATTATACATATATAATTATACATATATATATAATTATACATATATACATATATATATATATATAATTATACATATATATATATATATATAATTATACATATATATATATATATATATAATTATACATATATACATATCACATACATATGTATATATATATGTACATACATACATGTATATATATATATATAATATACTACACAAAATATATTATTACTACGATATACTAATATATAGTGATATATATACTAATACACTAACACCACATAGTAATATATAACTTATATACGTACTAAGTACTAAGTATAATAAGTAACTATAATATAACATACGATACAT